CGATATGAGCATAAAATGCAACACACAGCACATTTTCAATAACATGAAAATGATTAGATATATGCTCACTCTATAAAACACACTGCTTCACACACGCATGTGTATATTTTTGACCAAAAATGTAAATAAATGTGACAATAATACCACACTGTTGATAGCCACACAGACACTTGTTTATATTAATAAGATCCATTAATGGTTTAGTCACTAGCAAATATGCTGGAGACAATTCAAGACCAAAGAAAAGGTTAATCAGCAATGTATTTCTTCAGTTGTTTGATAAGAGTTTTGCTCATGGAGCATTTAAACTTTATCACACGGTTATATCCATTATTAGAAAAATAAGTAAGAAAGCTCTGTAGAAACTATATTATTAAGGAAGCTTCTTGCCTGAAAAAATAAAAGAAGTAGGAAGGAAGGAGGGGGGAGGAAGAAAGGAAGAAAAGAAAGAAGGAAGAAAGACGAGAAAGGGAATATTGAATACAAGATTCCACTAATTGAGCTTTTCCATAAAAATTTCATTATTTTGAGAAATAAAACACAATGCAAGCGTATTGATCAGTGAGGAACCTCATGAGTTTTGGAATAGATCCCAACATTTATCAAGATCCTTAAAACTCATATAACTATTCTTCCTCAAGGCTAATTTAACTGAAAACATATTTATACACCTTCTTGTTTCAAAATTCTAGTAAAAATCTAGCCAAAGTTTAGCCATCTCTTCCAAACAGCTTTAAAGATTCCTCAAAATTGTTGCCATTATATTATTTTCACCACAAAAACAAAAGCAATCTCAATAAAATTATGCAGAAACATAAAAAATCAACTAATTCTGTAATGCAAGCTACTCCTGGAATTTTTCACTTGATAATCTTAAAGTAATATTTATAACATCAAAATGCTGTTAGAAGTATCACCATTAATTTCTAGCTGTGTTTCAAACAACTGTTTAAATGTGCTTAAATATTAAGAGAGTCAATTTATGTGCAACAGCTACTCTGGTCTCCCCTCACACAACAAATGTCACATAATTACAGAGTACTATAAATATTCTCAATATTTTCCCAAGAAGACTTCCCAAAACCAAAACAAGCACGATTCCTCCCTTTTCCTCCTCCCCACTCTCCACACGAAAAAAAAAAAACCTCCAAACAAAAAAGCCCCCAATCCTCTTACGACTCTACAGTATTTACTGCAGTTTTCTATTTTTTGAAATTGCCTGGTTAAAGCAACGTGTGAAATTTTAAAAACCAGGTCTTTGAAAGAAGGCTTCTCGCAAAATTTAAAATAAAAAGAATGTGCAAGCTAGAGGGAGAAGGAATGAGACATAATGATCTCAGATCCTCACTTCCACAAGTTGGAATTGCAATGACATTGGGTACTGAAGCAGCCGTCCTATTTCAGGGTTCTAGGATACTGATTCTCTATGGGCCTTTTCTCCTACTGATGCTTATGGATTACTTCCATCCACATTAATGGGGTTATAAACAGGAATCACTATGAGGATCAACTCCTGAGGTAAATGGTTTGATTGTTACTGAAAATTAAACCATCAGGAGTAGGTTAGCACACTTAGAAACTGACAGATGAAGTGACGTTACGAGGTTCACAACCATCCACCTTCAACCAGATGTGAATGGCAAAGAGAAGCAGTAAGTCTCAGAGATAAGGAAAAGTTCCTATTTTCTCATTAAACAAAATAGTCATATTTAATACGAACTGCTAGCAATATCTGAATCCACAAATTTTGAAAAATTATTTTTTCAGTATACAATAGAGTATTGTATTTTATCTATTAATTCATTTTAAACACATTATCAGGTAAGAGATCACATGTTAATGTAATAAACAGAAAGATGTTAAGGTTTTTCTTTTTAAAATAGTCTTAAATATTTAAAAGACAAACTCAAATGTCTAACAGTACAAACTGGATTTACTGATAATCAGAATAATAAAGAAGAGGGTGAAGAAGGATCCTAACATGACAATTTAAAATACAGACTATGACAGTAACATAGAAGTAATGTCAAACATCTTGCACAATTATTGCCACAGCAGTGACTTGGTTCTCATAATTAATTAGAAATTTTCAGTTAAAAGCTGATGAATTTTATAACAAAATTATGCCAAACTTTTGTTAGATTAATAACCAGTTTCCTTCCTGCTCCCAGCCCATACAACATAATTTTAGGGTACTTCACACTATTCAAGCATACAACCACCACCACCACCACCACTGAAATAGCAAGAACATGCTATGATTAGAGTACTACACTTTGCTCTTTCTGTAGTCCCCAAGAAAGCCTGTCTGGTCCTGCCTACTGTCCAGTCCAGGTAGTTAAGAGAAAAAAGTCAGGGTATCACTTTTTGGTAGATATTATTCAGCTTTGGTGAACTAACTCTGGTATCTGGTTTAAGTATATAATAAGAGTGGGAAAAAAGGCAGGGAGGAAGAAAGAGGGAATTTTTTTAAAGGCACATACTAGTCTAAACAGGGAGAGAAAAGAGCACTGTTTTTACATTCAGTTTTTGATAATAAACTACTAATTCCAGTCTATCAAGCTGTATTACCTTAAGATTATATTACCCAGGCCTCAAGCTATCCCTGATCAAACACAGTGATCCAGCAGCAGTCACAAAACAGCCCAATTCCATAACAGCATTGTTTCACATATTCAAATAAGCTCATTTTTCAGTGGGTAACTACAGATCTCTGTGGGGGAAAAGAAAACTTCAAAATGTAAAATGTGTTCATACAAAATACCACATCAGAGAAAGAAATATGGTTACATTTGAATTGAGGGGAAATGGAAACTCAGATGCACCTTATTCACAGCACTTAATCTGAGAAAAAGAGACGGGCCTGAGGCTGCTGCATGAACTTGCTATTTGAAATAAAGGATCCTAGGGACAAAACAACCAGGGAACTCGTTTCCAGCAGCAGTCACAGAAAAACTGTTAAGAGAAGAATCCCGGACACAGTTCATCTGATGAGTATGATGACAATGAAGCCATTTAGATGATAATAAAGGGAAGCAAGAAATCTTACTGTATACAAGAATGCAAAAATGCCAGCACCTATGGCTGCTACTATACATTTGCTCAAAGGTCAGTCTTATTTCATTTACTATACTGATAGGGAAATTAACTAGATAAATACCTCCCCAGACACTCTTTGCTTTTTATCTAGCATTATAAAGGTAACTTAGAATATTTAAACAATGGAATTTTCAGAAATCATAAAATCAACATATTTATTTATTATGCCAAGAAACATTGAAAAATGTAGGTTGAATGTATTATTAAATATTAATTTTTCATTAAATATCTTCCTTTTTAAGGAAGCATGAGGAAAAGATCAGTGACATTAATCCTAGTCTTAATCTCTCTATCACTATCACACCTAAAAGGTCTGATCTACAGGCACTGAAACATTTCGTGAATAATGCTATGTAATACACTTAATTTCTGTATTAACAGATCTCAGACAGAATTTCCTGGAAAGCTTAATAAAATGTAGATTATTGGGGTCCCTTCCAGACCAAATGAAGTAGAAACTCTGGAGGTGGAGTTTTGGAATACAAGTTAAATTTTCCTCCCTTCCTTCCCTTCTCCTTCTTTCCTTCCGTTCTTTCCTTCCTCTCTCCCTCCTTCCTTCCTTCTTTTCTACAAGGTCTTGCTCTGTCACCCATGCTGGAGTGCAGTGGTGCTATCTTGGACCAATGCAACCTTGACTTCTCAGGCTCCAGTGATTCTCCTACCTAAGCTTCCTGAGTAGCTGGGACCACTGGCACCACCATGGACTCAACTAATTTTTAAAATTTTTGGTAGAGATGGGTTTCGCTATGTTGCCCAGGCTGGTCTTAAGCTCCTAAGCTCAAGTAATTCACCTACCTTAGCTTCCCAAAGTGTTGGGATTACAGGCGTAAGCCACCACGCCTGGCCCAAGTCAAAATTTCAAAATAATTCTTAAGGATATTACAGTTTAGAAACCACTATTTTACATTTTGTTCTTGGAAAGAACATGTGTCCTCAAGTTTGATGGGAGTCTAAGGTGTATTTGGTCTTTAAGACCCAACCCAACTCAGGGTTTTTTTTCCAGGAAGATTTTTTTGAACTCCACGTTGCATTCTTCTATTAAACCCCACAGTACTCTATGCATGCCTCTATCTTAATGCTTCATTATACTAGACTGAAATTATCCCAGTCTGTGGTTATCTTCCTACCTTAGAATGTAGTCCCATGAGGGCAAAGACTTTGACCAATTTATTATCTCTGCATCTGCAGTGCTTGGAACACCACCACATGGCATATATCCGGTACTCTTAAATATATATTAACTAAAGGAATAAATAAATCCATGCATAACACAAGATTCATAAAAACTAAGACTCATATAATAGTGTGACTGATTTCTTCCATAAGGAATTTAGTTCGATATTTATTGTCTGCCTACTAAGAGCAAAGGGGTACGGAAAGAAACTAACAAGGCATTGAGTACTTACCTAGGGGGAAAGAGACATATGTAATAAAAAAAAACTAGCTATAATTCCTGGCAAACCTTAATGAAATTGAGAATAAAAGAAACATAAATAAATTGCAATGAGAGGACAGAATACAAATCTTTTGTCTTACCACTGATAATAGTGAGATATGGGCTAGACACAATTTATGCCCTTCATAGAGTAGTAACGGGGTCATGTAATAATTAAAACACTTTGGATTCCCAAAAGTGGTCAAAGAGCAGAACAAACTGATTAATATACTTTCAGGATATACGTATAGGCTAACCTGGCAGAATAAATCAATTCCAAATCTTTGAAAATCAAAGTCATCTACAAAATGACACAAAAGTACAACCATTTGTGTCCTGAGAAGAAAAAAAATTCTGATCTTCTTTTCTTCTTTGTCTTTTCTCTTTTCCCAGCTGTTCTGCCCCCCTAGTTCTGCCATTCAATCAAGGTGAGTGGGATTATTAATAAATATAATGTCCTAAATAGTTTTTTTTTTTCAAACAGGGAGGCAAATGCAACATGTATAGATAGCATGGGTTTTAGAATAATTTACACCTGAGTTCCAACCCCAGGTCTACTACTTACTTATTGAATGACCTTCGGAAAGTTTGCTTAACCTCTTCACGCTGTAGTTTCTTTACCAATAAAATGTTGATAATATTACTTACCTCATGATACTGTTTTGAGAATCAAGCAAATAATAAATTATTGTGCTAGATCTTAGTAAATTATAGCTGTTGGCATCACTTTGGAGGACAGAGACGATGTTTGAAAATTAACCTTAGAAAACGCTTTGCAGCATGCTTAAATTTGTATTCAATACTAAGTTTGGTTGGTAATAATACCAACAGCTACCTTCAATGTAGGTCACAGATGAACTGGGGACAGTGAATGGAAAAAAATATTGGAAATAAAAACTATCAATGTGAAATAATATAGTGACAACTAGAACAACTATATACATAATACAGTACATGTCAATGTGAAAATCTCTATGAATTGTCTAGTCTATGTAGCAAATGGCAATTTTACGCAAATGAATTTGTGTCCTTTCTATTCATATCTGGATAGGGATCTTGAAAATTATTTGTTGTTGACTACTATTCTTATTCCATCAAAAATTTACACCTTCAGATAGCCTACTTTTTCTTTCATTGGAAAGACTATGATATCATTCAGTCTCTCCACTCATCTTCATATTGACAAACACTCTCAGTTCTTTCCCCTTTATCCCCTATTGATGCTATCTTACTTTGCAGTTATTGATTATGTTTCTGATTCAGTTGATAAGTGAAATAAAAATGATGGTATCAAGCAAATGATTTAACATACAGCCCTGGGCCTCCTCACTAGGTTGGATGAAACTGCCTTACCAGTCCCTACATTTAAATGTGTATATTAATCAAGTAGCTTAGATGTTTTCTCATTGGGTTTTCTTTTTTTAAATTGTGGTCCAATTCATTATTCTTGTTAGCAAATACAACATTATTGACAATTCACTAAATGCACAGTAAGATAATATACAAATAGATTTCAAACAAAATGTGGATTGTACCAAAGACACAAGAATATAGAAGAAAGCTTCTGAAAGATAAGACAATATTATACGAAACAAATTCTTTACTTATTTGACATACATTTTTGTTTCCTGGGCAGCAATAACTATCTTTTGCAGCTAATTTGGGAGACAAATAAAACGCATAATTCCAGGTTCACAGGCTCCCATAAATGCCAGTCAATTGCCATATTTGGACTATATCATATTATTAGAAAACTTGGGGGATTTTAATGGAACAATATGAAAGCGGGTTGTCTTTTTCAAGTTTCTGAGCCAACATCAGCTCCCTACCAGTGTGTCCCTATTTACTATACTTACTGAGATAGAAGATTTTGCTGTTAAGCTTTCATGCAAATTCAAGCACACAAAAAAGCAGTAGTACTGTCTTGTACATTAGATTCAGCAGAGTGAAGTGGGTCCCCTGAGCCTTACTTAATCCTTTTCTAAAAGAATAGACAACTTTTTGGGAGTAATTACTATAAGTTGTGTCAATCTACAAAAACAAATGTATATTTTGCTGTGTATGAAGCAGAACAGCAGCAGAAAGCACCCCAAACCAAATATAATATCTGGTAAATACACAGAGGAGAAAAATAATCATAAACTTTGAAATGTTTTTCTATTCAGTTATCTGAAAAAGCCAGGGTACCTTTACCTTTACAAATGAATATACCTATACATATTTATGTTGCATGTATGTAGGTGCATGTGTGTATACAGATACACACCCATATAGATAATTTATAATCTTTGAGGACTTGGCAGCTTGGGTGGAGGTAGGGTCTTTTCTGAAATATTAAAAAATTGTTGATTAATTTTTAGGCTATGAAGGATTTGATACTTATACCAGTTAATTCCCTATGGATATATCAAATCACACACACAATTCTGGGTATAGTCTGAAAAAAGGTAGATTTAACAAATAACAATTAGTTGGGTCTTTTTCTCACTAAGAGTGAAAGCACCAAGCTGGTCTTACTAATGTGTTTCACTAAGGTCTGTAACAGTTACAAATAAGACTGATAACTCTTTTTATTAGGCAGATAACAGTTGTCAGCAATGGAGCCAGTTCTTTCAAAGTCAAAAAAGATCACTGTAGCTTCAAATGCCTAAGTCCAGTTTCTCAGTAAAAATCTATATTCCCTCTTCAAGTCTCCCTACTGTTGCTGAAAACACTTAAATGAGATATTTTGCCATTTGATTCAGGTTCAAACTCTTACTTGTTTATTTAAAAAATCCTGGTAAAAGCTCGTTGATATAACAACAAAAGATGGATTTTTCCCTTTAATGAAGCCCTGTAACATACATTCTTAAACCTCATGTCATCCAGTGTAGCATTTGTATTTTTTCTTATAATTCATGTGTATGAATGCATAGAGCTGCCATTTTTTAAACTAAAAAATATAGAAGTTCATGGTCTTTTTGGATTTCTTTTAAGGCCTTTCAGTACAGCCAAGCTGAGTAATATCTATGCATTGTTTTGTTATTATGGTAATAACAACTTCTAGTTTACAATAATATATAGTACTTAGTTGGGACTAGGAGCAATGATATACTGCTTTTTAGTAACTGGTAAATAGTATGTTTTTGTCTATATTAACTAGAAATGAGAAGGAGAAAAAAGAAACTATTTTTAATATATATAAAATGTACTCTAATAAAGTATATGCATAAAATGATAGGTAAGAAGCAAAATTAAAAAGAAAACAGCTTATAATATTCCTGATTAGAGTTCCTAAATATAAAAACAAATGAAAGTGCCTTGCCATTAAAAAAATTAGCACGTTATACAAGTTTTACATACTTCAGAGGAAATAAAGATCTTGCAACACTGTTCTGAGGAATCTTTACATTTATAAAAATCGAAGGCTTAATTTTGCAAATACAACTTTCAAGCTGTATAAGCAAATTTAACTTACATGAAAGGCACAAGATGACATCACGTTGAAGAACTTTATCTGTAAATTTCATAATGTCTAGTCACAAGTTATTAGAAACTTCATAAGGAATCTCAGAACTGTTTTAACATGATGTTCCGATTCAAACTGAGAACTGGATAGTCTTTACATCACAAATACAAGTTGAAGTAAGAGTGAAGATTTAGAGAAAGAACAGTTTCTTATTTTGGATGCTACCTGCTTTACGCAGCGTTGGTTACTAAATACTCAGAGCAGAAAATTAAAATTGAATTGTTTTCCATTTTCAACAGCTTACCTATTGTATTTTCAGTTTGTAAAAACAGTATTTTCACATTTACTGCAATTTTGAAGAGTCAATCACTGAAAGATATTTTAAAGTAAAGTCCTGCTATATTAGCTTCCTACATTGGAATACAAGAATACAGGAAGTGCTTTCAACAGAAAGTTACGTAGTTCTACAGTACAACCTGTCTAAAAGACTTGCAAGGGACCAGTACAGTGACTTGGTCTCTTTGGATCAGGCAAAAGCAGAGGCAAATGAAAAATGAACTTTTAAAAAAATAATGTATTAAAATTCCTGTATGAAAATGAATACTTGTTTGCACTTAGATTTAGTGCTGAGAGGAACTGAGGCACAATGAAACTAAGTGCACAAAGGGAACATGTCTGAAATAAAGCAATTTTCAATGTGACTGAAACCCTTCGCCATTACATATGACGTATGATAGAGTTGGAGAACTACTTTTTCATATTAAAGAACATTACAATCACCAGGGACTGGCCAAACTATGTTTTATAAATAATACGTAGGATGACATTAAAATCATATTGTAAGTAAAATTCTGGTTTTTAAAATCACTTATAATTTTGATTTTTCATAAAATCACTGGCTCTTGCAAAATTAACATTAACTTCAAATCAAAAACATCTTGTTAAATTTCTGGAGGACTCTTAGTTTAGCAATGATAATTTATGTTTCTCAGTTTCCCAAACAAGCTCTACCAGATATCATTTATGTCAGTATTAGATATTCTTTCCATCGAACTTAAAGCATTTTGGTAGAAGGTTGAATATGATTCTTCAAAGAACAGCTCTTCTAATGGTGACTTGGTAGAAACAGTAATGTTGTAATTGGAAATATGCTGCCTTGGAGGGTGACTGCTTGCTTAATTCTATTCATCACGACTCTAGCAACGCATGCCATCTACATACTTGCTGTCCCTTTGACTCTTTCATTTCAGTCCAGTGATTGAGTTCTTCTTCTCCAGAGCTGTTTAGACCTAAAGAAATCCAGCCTATCATTTCTTTTCTTTTCATGCTGCGTTTGTTATACACAGACAGTATGAGTGTCACATCAGAAAGCTGAAACAGGGCCACTTGAAAAACAAAAGTTTCCTTGTATACTGGATTTGGCTGCCCTCTGCGGATGGATGTCTTGCATTTGGACATCTCTTGACCCATGGAATTCAGTAGAGTTAACTTAACATATGTATCTAAAGAAGAAAAAAACAACATATCACAAATATCATTTGAAACAAACTCAAAACAATTCTCTCATAGGCTAAGAAAATTAAGTATTTATACTTTAAAAGGATATGGTGTATACCATGTTTAATGGAAATTCAACCAATTCCATTTTGATGTAGGTGCTTATAATATGTGACAAATACAGAAAATGCTAAGTAGGCCAATAATATTTTGAGAGTAATAATATCTTAACCTTATTATTTCTATGTAATAGTTAGAATTTAAAGGTATACCTCATAATCCTTCCTCTACCCTCCCACCCCATCCTTGACCTCCCACTGCCCTCCCACGCCCATTCCCATTCCCATTTAGCTTCACTAAGCAGAACATCATAGCATTAATAAACACTTAGCAAGCTCAATTAGCCACAACACTGTAAAGCATTCCACTGTTTTCAGAGAATAAGAATAAACAAACAAATAGAAATGAAGGCAAATGGTGAAGAGAAAAAGAGGAAGACAAGAATGCAAAGATGACATCAAAACAGCTTAGGATGAAATGTCAAAAAAAATCTCTGCATGGATGTGGTTTTTAAATATACTTTTAAAACATTAAAGGGCAAAAATGAAGCCAAATGCATTAAGGGTTCAAAGTTTAGCAAACCAAGTAAAACTTTCTCCTGGTTTCATGCAAGAGTATATTTAATGTGCTTTCAGGATAGTTAAAATACTACAGGATTGTTTTTTGGCACAAATTTAATGTAAAATTTTAAGAATGATATCTTAACTATTTTTATGAATTACAAAAAAATTGATGTGATGTTTAGTGTACAAAGTGAAACATAACAGTTCATTGCCTGATTATTTGGGAGACAAATCCTCTCTTTATAAGACTGTTTTCAAGTTTTTTAGACTCATGCAAATGATCTTCAGCATGTTGATCCATCATGTGTACTTCATATCAAAATTTCAATTAATTTTAAAGAAAATTACAATATTTATCATGAAATATCTATTTCTATTGTATGAATCAAAGTACAAATGAATGAAAAAATAAAAATTTTTATTTAAAAAAGTTTTGCTTATTTCATATATGCTCTGAATACCATCATCCATAATCAGAGATAAATTCTAAGTTAGTTTTATTTAAAGTACCACAGATAATAAATGTGCATTGTTTTGGAAACCAACATGGTGGACAGCTTCACTGCTGGCAAGTTTTAGGGTATTTTGGTTTTGCATGAAAAGACAACATCCAATTAGCCTCTACAGGAACTCACCTCGGATTATATAAACCTGTCCACCTATCAAGTGTTTTAGACAACAGAACAGTCCATCTGACAACAGGGGGTGGAAAGCAGTAAAAGAAATAATGACCAGATGTCAATCGTTGGGTGAAAGAGGGTCAAAGGTTAGAATTAAAGAGGAAACACTGTTCACTGGAGTGGAAGAACACAAAACTTTAGCATTTTAATTCAGATAGAGGGCTGAACAAAAGGGATGTTGGGTAAATTTCATGGGATGAGAATTTTTAAGGTTATTGTGTAATCTTTAACAAAAATTACACTTTTTAAAAGGGGGACATCTTTTTAATGATATTCTCTTGGTCTAAAGCACATTGAACATAGAATCATGCATATTATCAGACTATAAAAGACTAAATAAGAGTATTTATAAGAACCATCAGAATTATTATGCTTATTATTATTGCTAAATTTAAAGCTTAACCATTTAATTTTCAAATACTTTTATTACTCCCAATATATATAAATTAATTATGCAAAACAAAATAGGGCTAATGAAATTTTTGCTGTTGAATGTTGTTCTTTCTTTGGAAAAATGGGGATTATTCAGTCTATAACATAATTCAAAGCTTAGAACCTAGGTATTTATGAGGGGCTATAATCTTTATACTGTTTCGGACAAACTGATAAGACTGTTTTAAAACTGTTTTACCTTTTACTTTAAGAATATTCCACTTTCATAAAATTACTTTAAATGTTGACTTCTACTTACTTGCTAGTTACCTCCCACCTAACACCAAGAATTATCCTTATACTGAAGATCTAATGGTAAAATAATGGCAACTGCTATAACCTACTCTGTAACCTGAAACATTGAGTCTATGTTGTGGATGCTAATCTTTTGTCATCTGCTTATTATCCAACTCTGTACTTGGCCACACCTCCCTTCATTTTAGTTGTGATTCTTGTTGCTCTATCAGAGCAACAGTAAGGACAGAAAAGCAAACACATCACTTCATTATATTTTTTAGCATCTCCAGCTAAATATTTGCCCAAAAATGTGTAGTAAATTATTAGCTAAAGCACAAGTGGCAAACTGATACCTGGGGGTTCAATGTGACCCTAAACCATGTTCTATTTATCCAGCACAGTGCTAACAATCTGAATCTGAATGTCTTATGGCAGGGTGTGCCCTCTCATGTTTGTCTCAGGCCTCACCATCTCCCCACCTTTGAGTTTTACTCATTTCAGTTATCTCCCAGGCCTTCTAAGTTTGCGTTTTAAGTCTATACTAATAAAGATCAAGTCACACTACCAAATCTGTTTATTCTAGAATTGCTTCTTTTCTCCCATTCAATTTCTCTTCTGAAATGAGAAGGGGGATAATAATAATAATTCCATCCCTCTTTTATGCACCTTTGTCTGATCTGAGTCTCACAATTATCCTGTGAGAGACATGACCTTAATTTTTATCTATAAAGAAACAGACTTAGGGGAGTGAGATCATCTGTCCAAGGGTAGAAATACTAATTTAAGCCTTCAGATTTTTAATTCAGAGATAGATACCTTCTATGATATATATATTTCCAAATAATATTGGAAAGCTTGCTTCTTACATATATCATAAACGTATCCATATTTTAATAACTTTTTACTTCTTACATATATCATAGAAGGTATCTATATTTTAATAACTTTTTACTTCCATTGAATAAATAAATTTTTATGACAATTAGAAATAAAGTTAATTTATTTTAAGGGTAAAAAAAGTTACCCTTCCTTTATTTTTTAATTTTAATTAATTACTCTTATTATTATTTAAGACAGGGTCTTGCCCTGTCACCCAGGCTGAAGTGTGGTGGTGCAATCTCGGCTCACTGCAGCCTTGACCTCCTGGGCTCAAGAGATCCTTCCACCTCATCCTCCTCAGTAGCTGAGACTACGGGCTCAAGCCACCATACCTGGCTAATTTTTAATTTTTTTGGAGAAAGGGTCTGTTGTCCAGGCTGGTCTGGGCTCAAGTGATCCTCTAGCCTCAGCCTCCTAAATGTTGAAATTACAGGTGTGAGGTACTGTGCCTGGCCCTCTCCTATAATAATTACCTGCTATTTGGAATAAAATACTGCATTAAGTAAGTCTGTAACAATTCTTTAAGAAAATTTAAGGTGGTATTATTATTTCAGATTTATTTTCAAATTTTTAGTTTAGGACAATAACAGATTTAATTTTAGATAAGTATAAAGAAGCTGCCACTTTCCCAGTTTACCTCTTACTTTACCAACATTTTAGAGGTATATTGGGTGACAATTTCACTACTCTCCCATAACCTACCCTGGCCCTACTGAGCTGGGAGAGAGATCTGGAGAAAGAACAGTAACAGGCATAACACGCATACAGTCAGGGCAGAGGTATACCATCTAGCTTTCCCTTCTTAGCATCCAGGGTAAACAGCAAACTGTTCCTTATTCTGTTTGTCCTGGTAAAAGCAAAGCTCATTCCACCTAAGAAAAGTCTCTGCTGGCAGTACTGCGTTATAATTTTAAAGGAGAAAAAATGTAAAGTAACAGTTTCTTCTTAAATTGTTAAGGGAGAATGAGGGGAAAATACAGAAGTAAATAAAATAGTTCATAGTACTGCATGCAGACAGAAAACACATTAAACTTCAGTTAACAACAATAGCTATGCAATTCCTGTTCATATTTGTGAACATTACTCACTTTTGAAGGCCCTATAACCTTGTCTGGCATTAAAAGTTAATGGCTATGATAGAAATAATTTATTCTGCAGACACTATGAAGAATTAAAAGTCTGTCACCTTACAATCAATACTTTGAATTTCAAATTTTTCTACTTCCCAAATGACTGGAAATAGAAAACATGAAACAGATTAGCTGATGATTACACCATTTCATTTTGATTGGTTAAGACTAAATGATGGGATTGAAGTGCCTAACACTGAGAGTCCCAAAGTGCAGAAAGCATTAGAATAAAAAAATTTGTTTCACTCACTGGGTGGTCTGTTTGCTGCCAAATTTTTGAAGTGGCTACCTTTTATCACTTCTGCTGATAGTCTTCCAGTTGTGGCATTATAAAGCAGGCCAATGAGAATTTCTGGAACTGAGCCGTGTTCAAGAGACTGACATGAGGATGTACTTTCACTACACGACATTTCTGACACGCTCATTTGGGAGTCACAGCCCTGTAATCAATAATAAAACTTTTATAGTATTTTGCAAGAGAGATATATTAAGAGAGATATTGTTATGCCATGATTCTTTGGATTAGGTACGTAAATCACAATAAAGATGAATTGCAAACCAAACCAAACACCAGATTACAATTATTGTCCTTAGCATATTTCAGTCCCTGGATTTTTTTTCATTATATCGAAGTCAAAGAAGTAATAGGAAATGAGGAGATTTCATAACTCCCTGCATATTTATATATAAATCAGATAAATTTCTTAAACTTATAGATGTTAATAAACTGTTTTCTGAATATGAAAAATTATTGTTTAAAGACTATCAACCTTAAAAGGCTGACAAAGATTTAGACTCAATACATCAAATGTCCTAACTGTGCCTTTAAATAAACAAAATTACCTGCTATTTATAAGCCAACATCTAAAACACAGAGATACAGGAAAGTTGGAAAATATGGGAAAAATTAATCACATAAAAAATAATCAAACAAGTTGATGTAGATGCCTCAGTATCAGTGAGGGTCAGCTTTAAGGCGATAATCACTACTAGAGATGAAGAAGTATACTAAATAATGATAAAACATTGAAATCACTAAAAAGTAAAATAATCCCAAATTTGCATGCATTTAGTAACATGGACTCAAAATAGAGAAAGCAAAAATGGCCAGAACTAGAAAGAGAAAGAGACATCCATAATCACTGGAGACATAAGCACACTTCCCTCAGTAAACTAACCACATTCAGTAACTGGCCTAATGGATAGACAAATCAGTACTATAAGGATATAGAAGACTGGACTATCACAATAAGCAAAATTGACCTAATGATTACATGCAGAACATTATACCTAATAACTACAAAATATAATTTTCCCAAGCACACAGTAGAATTTTTTTTTTAAATTCAAGCAAATAATTTCAAATGATGAAAATTATTCATTATGTTTTTTGATCCATTAGAAACCCAAATTCTGTTCTAGAGGAGAATCAAATATATCTTTTGGAAATTAAAGATATACTTTTAGTAACCCATGGGTAACTAAATGATAATAAAAATAAGTGATTTAAAAGGACTAATAAAATGAATAAACTTCTGGAGAGTCCAATCAAGAAAAAAAGAAGGCACAAATAACAATTATCAGGAATGAAAAAGGAGACATTACTACATATTTTACAGACCATGAAAAAATAAGAGGATAGGACCAACAACTTTCTTCTTATAATTTTAAATTTGGAAGAAATATACCAGCACTCTCCAACCTTTTTGGCACCAGCGACCAGTTTCTTGGAAGACAATTTTTCCGGACAAGGTATAGAGGGGACTGTAATGCTGTCACTGCTCTGACAGGTGGCCGAGCTCAGGCGGTAAGGTTCACTAGCCCACTGCTGCTTACCTCCTGCTGTGCAGCCCCCGTTCCTAACAGCACAGGGACTGGTACTGGTCTGCGGCCTGGGGGCTGGGGACCTCTGAAATAGATGTCTTTCTAGAAAGTTATTTCGAACCAAAAGAGACACTGGAAGACTGTTCAGAAACAGCCTTACTAAAGAAATTGAATTTGTAATTAAAAGCCTTTCCAAATACACACACAAAACAAAAATAAGAAACTCTGGCCCAGATGGCTTCACTAGTGAATTCTAATTAATAATGTTAGTCTTGCACAAACTCTTTCACATAGTAGAGAAAAAGAAACCACTCTTCAACTTCCTTTAAGAATTTAGCAAAACATTAAAATCAAAATTTAACAAGGGCATTATAAAAAAGAAAAATTACAAGATTTTCTCATTCATGAATCTAGATGAAAAAATCCTAAATATTAGCAAATGAAATCCAGTAATGTGCAAAATCATAATTAACAGCAAAAAATGTTAATGTTTCCCCTTCGAAATTGCCAACTATGACTACTTTTAGTCAACACTGTAGTGGAGATACCAGCTAGTGAAGATCCTAGCCTTACTAAAGACAACAGAATGAAATAAAAAGTACAATGATTTTAAAGTGGACTAGATTGAAAAAAAAGTCCTTATGTTCAGATTACATAATTATGTACACAGGAACAAATCTACAGATGAACTGCAGTTGTATACAGAGGTAAAATTTAGAAATCTATACATTACTATATATCAGAAGCAAACAAAATAAAATTTATTACAATAGCATTTATTATGGCATTTAAATATAAAATACCTAGGAATAAATAATAAATAATATGCAAGACCTCTATACAGAAAACTATGAACAGTACTGAGAGAAATCGAAAACTACTATATAAACTGTTACTGTATTAGAAAGCTCAATTTTGTAACATTCTCTCCAAATTGATCTATAGATAAAATTTAATTCTAATAAAAATATCAGCAGGTTTCTTTGAATTGTTTGACTTCATTAGTAATCAGGGGAGTGGGAACGAAAACTATGAGGTAATACTACACAACAAACAGATGAGCTAAAATAATACCAAGTATGGTGAGAACAAAGTACTGGGAACTGTCATAGTTCTCTTGCGAAAATGTGAAGAGATGCAAATTTTTTTTTTTTTTTTTTTTAAATATAGATGGAGTCTCGCTCTGTCTCCCAGGCTGGAGTGCAATGGCACGATCCAGCTCACTGCAACCTCCAGCTGCTGGGTTCAAGCAGCCTCCCAAGTAGTTGGGACTATAGGTGCATGCCACCACATCCGGCTAATTTTTTGTATTTTAGTGGAGATGGGGTTTCACCATGTTGCCCAGGTGGGTATCAAACTCTTGAGTTCGGGCAATCCGCCCCCAACAGCCTCCCAAAGTGCTAAGATTACAGGCTTGAGCCACTGCACCTGGCCCCAATATTTTACATGTTATAAATACACATACCTATGACCTGGCAATTCCACTTCTACATATATACCCACCAGAAATATGTGCGATGGGCCAGACGTGGTGGCTCACGCCTGTCATCCCAGCACTTTGGGAGGCCAAGCCGGTCGGATCATGAGGTCAAGAGATCGAGACCATCCTGGCCAACATGGTGAAACCCCGTCTCTACCAAAAATATAAAAATCAGCTGGGCGTGGTGGTGTAGTCCCACCTACTCAGGAGGCTGTGGTAGAAAAACTGCTTGAACCTGGGAGGTGGAAGCTGCAGTGGGCCCAGATTGTGCCACTACACTCCAGCCTGACTACAGAGCAAGACTCCATCTCAAAAAAAAAAAGAAATATGTGCAATGTTTGTCAAGAAACATATGAAAGAATGTCCACAGCAGCATTATTCATATTGGATACAAACAACAGAATGGATAAAAAAAATTGTACTGAATTCACACAATAGCATACTATACAGCAATGAAACCCAATTATAACTATATTTACAAATATGATTTTCAGTAAAACATATTGGGCCCAAAAGGATACCTAGCTGCATAATTATTCCATTTATGTAAAGTAACAAAAACAAATCCAACAACCCCAAAACCAAAACTTCAAACCAGACAGAACTAAACCATTATGTTCCCAATGTATTAATAGGTGGTAAAATTATAAAGAAAAGCAAAAAAAGTAATTAACATGAAGTAAAAATTGTGGGTAACTCTGGAGGTGGGAGAGAACAGTGACTGGGAATGGCAGGATGGGAGTTTCTGGGGTTACTGAGACAATGTTTCATTTCGTGACCTGGATGGTCATTACATGGGTTTTGTTTTATGATAAATGGGTTGTACATTTGCATTTTTTACCCTTTTCTAGTATGTGTTGGGTTTCTCAAGAAAGAGGATTTAAGACAAGTTGCATGATGCAAAGACACAGTATACACAAATTAACATACAATGATAAAAATAAATATCCAGAACTTTCTTTGAAGATTCCCAAAGGGATCCATTCCATGAATTAAAAAGGAAAGAAAAGAAAAAAAAAGACTGTAACACTATTCTCTATAACAATGTAGTTAAAAATTTTTTTTAATGTTTTATAAGAATCTTGGAGTTTAAAACCTACTACTGGCTGTAGAATTAGTGAAGGAGAATTAATACATACCTGGGACCTGAACTAACTTGTTGGACTAATATTCAGAAGGCTAAAATCTCACATTTTTAACTCTAGACTACAGAACGGAAGCCAACAGGAATATACATTTTATATTCTTAAATCATGGGTACACAAAACACATAGTTTGGTATGTTTTCATGACAGTTGGAGAAAAAAACAATTTTAGTAAGTTTCAATTAGGATATATCATCACTTATGAAAATGGTGTCAAAAACATGCTTGAGCACATTTGGTGCATTTGTTACATTAGGCTATTATACCAGCAGCATCTGTTAGAATATTGTGAAATACATTTTTCACAATATAGTATTTTTCACATTAACCTACTGTCAGATAACAAGATGTGAACCTAATAGTTACTCATCAACACAGAAGTCATACTGCCGCTTTTCAGAAACAAATTGATACCCAAAGAAAGCGATAGAGAGGCCTTTCTCAAACCTAAGGAAAACACTCCCCACATCACTGCTGAGAAAATCATTATCTTCAAGCCCAACAAAAAAAGCAAGAGCATTAAGATCCTTGTTGAGCACGTTGTTTTAGTAAGCCCTGCTGAAATATAGTGGTGTTTAAATAACACAGGAAAATATTCTCTAGAAGAGTTCATTATGAATTTATGCCCTACAAAAAGTGCTAATCTCATGTCCCTGCTAATCTCATGTCCCTTCCACTGACATTAGTGTAACTGCCCATTCAACATGGGTAGAGTTGTGGCAATCTAAGATCACTCATACAAGAAAAGCAGGAAAAAATAGCTATGTAAACAGAATCACTGTAGTTAAAAAAAAAAAAAAATTAGTGGCACGTGCCTGTAATTTCACCTACTTGGGAGGCTGAGAGGGGAGAATCACTTGATCCCAGGAGTTCTAGACCAGCCTGGGCAACACAGCGAGATCTGTCTCAAAAACAAACAACCTCAAATTAAAACCGATACTATCTGCCCAAATTGCATCTTTCCTCAGACTATTCCTCAGGGCAGGCTGCT